CAATCAGCGCACTACAAATTGCTGTTGATTTCATGTATCCAAAAAAATGAATGTCAAGAAGATATTCCCTGAATGAACATAAATACCCGTGTGTGCATTGCCAGTGTTTTAATGCTGGGAAGACATCCATAATGTGCTTTTCCTGACAGACCCATAAAATAGCTTTTACTGCTCTGAATACCAGGAGAATTGCGGCACTGACTTTGCATGAACATTTTAAAAGCAGTGTGAGGAATGCACCTTCTTTAGATGTGCTCTTACCCATCTTGCATGTGAAAACATGCACAGGAAGTAAGATGTCAATGAATACTGTAATTTAACTGAATTATGTTGACCACATATCCTCCCAGGTAGCAACATCAGAGGAAGCAGCTCAATCAGTATTGATCTCGACATGACTCAGATGACTGACTTGTCTGTGTACCTGACACCTGACGCTTATGGTGCTTTAAGATGTTAAAATAGTGCTAGAAAGCTAAATAAAAATGATCCTGAGATGCAGAGAAGTTTACATGATGGGGTTAGTGTAGAAATAGGATCAAAGTACAAGGTACATATTCTTTTCTTTCTTCTTAATTTTTAAATATAACATATGAGTTTTATCTTCTCAGGCGACACCATCCTGCAGTGCCGTTGTAAGTCCATAATTTTCCAGAGCTTAGCCTGATCCCTAATCAGGCCATTGAACACCACTCACCCTCTACAGACTAATCCTTTTGTTCTCTCAATAAAGGAGCACCTGTTAATAAAGTCTTCAAAACACACACGATTTGAGATGAAGCGGCAGCATGTACATTGTGAGACAGACCTGACTCCTGAGACGAAGCCTTTCCAACCTCTTTCTTCTCCCGTTTTATTGTGTGTTTTACTGTCTTGTGTGTAGCTTTGTGTGGTTCTGCGGCCCCGTAAGCGCTGTCTCCACAGAGCTTGACCCAGGCTCAGTTGTTAAAAGACTAATTGTGGAGATTGCCCCCTCAGATATGTCTCCTCTCTTTCTGCTTGTGCATTTGTTCTCCAGCTCTAAGCCCTGAATGGGGCTGGGGGGGTAAAGTCGATGTGAATGTTAAATTAGGCGAAATTAATTAAAGCAAATTACCTTGGACTATGTGGCAGTCAGAGGAGAGTGTCAGCTGATAACCAAATACTGAGTGATCAGCTGCTACTGCTCCTTCTGTTTTTTTTGTCAGGAAACATAACAATTGTCAGAAACTTTGAAACTTGTCTATTTTCCAGAATAAGAAATATTTTTTAAGAAACTATTTCCATATTGTTGTCTCTAACGCTTTCATTAACAGTGATTTATACCAATCATTAGTGGTTTATTAACCATGTGAGCCTGTTTCAAACCTCTTTGCTCCTAATTAATATAAACTCAATTTTACAAAAGACTCATGCATTTCCTATTGTGTATCAGAACTGTACATCATAATTGTTTATAATGTATGTATATTCTTGCAGCTTGCAGAATTATTTCATTGCGTTATATGTTCTGAGCTCAAGCAGACACAATAGAAAATTTTCATTCCAATCAGTGCCGAACAGGGAACTGGTAAATTGGAGCAGCAAAACAATAATTCCACTGATTAGCCCCTTTCTGTGTGGCGTAAGTGAACTGTTTATACTGTGGAGTACCTCTGCAAGAGGAGAGGAACCAAAACAGTCTGATTAGGCAAAGAGTAATTGGATAAGTTCATTTCACCATGAGGACAACGTGCAGGATGACAGCTTGCACAAAAGTCTACAGCTTCTGTTGACTCGCATCAGTAATAAAGGCGCTAGTGTAGGATTGTTGGTTGCCCGCTAATGATGTATGATGCTAGATTGTGAAAGCACTGCATTTTAGTTCCATTAGAAATCAGGCACTTCTGTCCCTTCTCAACCCAGAAACAAGATATGATGTTCATGTGAGAGATTACTGGGGTGTTCATATTGGATCAGTTTACAATTAGGTGTCCCTTACAATTATAAAAGCACTACGAACTGGTCTGCGAACACGCTAGCAGGTGCGTGAGACCACTTAAGCACACCATTGTTTTGAGCTAAATGCAATGTTAGCATGCTAACAAGTTCACAAGTACAATATTGATATGCTGAAGTTTAGTGGGTGTGATATTTAACATGTCACATATTAGCATGCTAGTCATTATGATTTATCTTGTTGATGAGAATAATATTGTATATATATTGAGTGTATAAAAAGATGGACGACACAAATGCTCCTCAAATGTGAAGCCAAAGTGTCTCCATTGCCACCTGGTGGCAGGCGGCAGTATATACCCCACCTCCTCAATGTTAGTTGATGGGGCATTGGATTAACTAAAAAGTCAAAGTAGGAAGTATACGTTCTGATAAGTTTGTTTTTAATTAGTTATTTGATGTGTATCAACATTTGTATGAATGGGACTTCACCACCAGTGCTCTGTCCCCCAATCACTACTGCACAAACTCCGGCTCCATATGCGCAACATATCAGCGTTCATACCCAGGACATTTTAGCTTCATTTCTGGTTAGTGGGAGGAAGTGGCAACCATTCCAATGGTTGTTGAGACCTTTGACTCTAAATCACAAATGTGAGGCTTTGTCTTGCTCGAGAGCAAAAGTCAGGGGATCATATTAGTCATTTGTCCTCTGGTGTTTATGAAAACCTACAAAATTCTGTTGCAATTCTTCTAATACTTCTATCAAGAAACCAGGACCCTGATCGGATTGGTGGACTGGCATTGGACAACTTTATTGCTGTACAAACCTCTCTTCAGACGTATTTCTATTGAGCTGCTATCACACACCACACATGATGCAGCTCTGCAAACAGTTGCCTGCATATTAGTAATGCTGTTGTGCATCATGTCACCTACGCACAGCTATCTGACTCATCAATATTTTCTACGTGTTTCACTGTTAGAACTTGTTGAGAGATGATGTGACAGGCGTGATGAGTAATGTTGATCACTGTGGTGTTGCCTCGCGGGGCCTCACCTGTCAACAGCCCGTCACACACTCAGGCATCAATGCTTGAATGTGGATTGTTGATAACGTTTAGTGGCTCCACCATGCACATTCCAAACATAGTGTCCCTCAACACAGCAATACTTAAAGCCAAGTCATCATTTGCCTGACATCCACTTCCCTGTTGAAAGAGATGGCATTCCCATTATGCCACAATGTGATACTTCATGTCACTTAAATCACTTTTGTTGACTGATTTGCTGAATGTGTCAGTGTATTCAAAACCAGGGTTTATATAAAACTGGCGAGAAGGTGCTCCAGTGATTGTTTACTCAAACTGTACTTAAGTATACATTTGAGTTAGGCCTACTTGTGCTTAATTTTAGTATTCCAACTTGACACTATTCTACTCCATTACACTTGAGGAAAATGTTGAACTTTTTACTCAACTACGTTTATAAATATATTTACAAGACACTTGCTGTAGCTCGGATAGCTCAGAACCTTAATGCTGACCATAATAAACTGTCTAATGTGCAGTGCACTTTGGCCTGCGGCGTATGACTGGTCACAGTGCCCTCGCAGAATCCCTCCACTGCCAAAAGTCCCAAATGTGGACATCAGAAGTGGACGATAGAGCAATGGGATAGGGTAGGTTGGTTGAGGCAGGTTGACTTTTGTATTTGTTGATATCACGGGAAGAGATGGCATCAGGATACACTTTGGGAAGAAGGCAAAACGACTGAGGCAGTTCATGCTCTGGACATGTTCTGCTGACAGACCTTGGGTCCTGACATTCATGTGGATGTTTCTTCCATGGATCACCAACCTACCTAGTTTCAGACCAAGTACACCTCTTCTTGGCAACAGTATTCTCTGACTGCTCTTTCAGCAAGATAAAAAGTGTTCAGGGCTGGTTTGAGGAGCATGACAAGGTGTTGACAAAGCTGTGGGACATGCTGGAAAAACATGTTGGGTCCATGGAGGCCCCACCTCCAAACTTACAGAACTGAAAGGATCTGATGCTAAAATCTTACACAACAGGACACCTGTCTTCTCCAGTCCATGTCTCTATGAGTCAAGTTGCCTTGGTGGCATGAGTGAGACCTACACAGTATACGTAGACAGGTCCTTTCCAGTGTGTAGGATTTTGTGGCATCTAGCCACTAGTTGCATATTATAACCGATTCCCCTTGCCTCACCCCTCCCTTCCAAGTGTGTACATGACAGATTTAAAGGGCTCATTGTGAGATAACAAATACACAATGATTTTTCATTTCAGGAAAAATTACACTGTAATTAAAATGTTTTCAGACTACTATGAATTTGTATTCCACGTCCCTAAATCCAACACACTGGATCTTTAAAGTTGTGGCTAGTAGGTTTATGAAATAGTTAAAACCAGCTCCATTGGTTTGCTACAATCCAATAGTCCTTTCTATGATTTTTTTTTCTTTTAATCAAGCTCATTTTCCTGACAATATTTTATATTGCACTGCATATAATCCACAGATTACAAAACAAATGGTTCACAAATGAGTATGAGTTGTAAATTAAAGCATGAGAATAACATTCAGGGGAAGCGTCCACTATACACTGTCACTCTCATGTGACAGATGTACACCCCCCACCCCAGCTCTGCTTCAGAGCCTCATTATATAATCACCAGCACAGCAACCGCGATGATGCCAACGATTAGTGTAAGACTGTTCTCTGTCATTTATGATCATTGACATTTTTCTGTTAAATCAAACTCCTTTGTTTATTTCTCATATTTTCAACTGAATAGCTCATAGTTTTAAGACGGAGGTGTAGACTTGAGCAGGTTTCTTACAGTTCAGACATTTAAAGAAGTTATATATAATATAATCCTGAATATTTTATTGCATTTCTTATCCTGTGCCCCCCCCCCCAAACTGTGCCTTTATGCTAAAGCTAAAAGGTCACTGAACTAGATCTAATAGTTTCACATTTGATCTCAAGAAGTCCATGTCACTCATTATGTTGCACTGCAAGTGTTCACGTGAAGCCGTGTTGTGTCCCGTCGCTGCAGGTGCTTTTGAGGATGAGGATATCATCCACGTTGAGGGCACGGTGGACCCAGTGAGGGACATGGAGATCATCCACGAGGAGCTGAGGCTGAAGGATGAAGAGATGATCGGCCCTGTTATTGACAAGCTGGAGAAGACTGCCATTAGAGGCGGTGACAAGAAACTCAAACCAGAATATGTGAGTCAATGTCCCAGCAGGCCCTTTGCTCTCCCTCACAGCAAGGCACAAATAATAACCCTCCCACACACGCGGCCAAGGAGAGGAAAAAAAAAAGTGTGGTTTTTTTTAATCTCCCTCCAATATGTCTCACCCCTCCCCCTGCCCCATTTTCCCTCTCTGAGATTGAAAGTGATCAGGGGTCAGGGGTTTTCTGCTGTAGAAATCATTAATAGAGAGTTACTTATTCAGCTGCTGACCCTGGGTCACAGCACTGGGCTAATGAAAGTGTTTCCACACAGCTCTTTTCATCTAAAGTAATACTCAAATCATGGCACCGCTCTTGCTCAATGCTCATACACCTACAGCAGCTCGGGAAATTGTGTAAGGCCATACAGCAGGTGACATATCTGCCTATGCCTCGCTATGAATACCGTAAATGTTTAGAATAGTCTTTGACAGGGGATGCTCGGTCATATGAGGTGCAGGGCAAAAACGCAGGGTAGGTTCAGAGAAAAAAAAATCCATATACTGGCTGTCAGGTTTATGTGGATGAACAACACGTTCAGGTGGTCGTATTGTTAAGGTAATGAGGCTCAGCACCCAACTTTAGCAGTGATTTGGCTGTAAATGTCTCATGATGCCCTTCCATCACCGGAGCGGGATAAGATAGGGCCGCACGCGAGGGGATCTGGCCTTTCACTGGGAGCGGTTTGCCCAATTTCGGGCCCCAACACGCCGAGGCTCTGACCACTCATTACGCTAACGAGAGGGGCTATTTCACCTGCTGTAGGGGCCCCTTGCGTGGTTGGTTCCCTTCAGACTAAACCCCCCCCCCCTTCTTTTCCAGCCAACAGCACTTCCCCACACCCCTGTAGCCCCACAGACAGGAGCCATTCAGACCAGGCAGGTGGCCGTTTACGCACATAATTGCTAACAATTTTAGGCAATGAATAAAAATGATCTACATTACTTGTCAAAGGTTGTGCACACGTCGGCAAGTGAGGATCTATAGAAGATCTCTTTAGATGGCAAAGAATGGCACTTATCAAAGGCTGCACCAAGCTTTTAGATGGGGAGGTGTGTGTGTGTGTGTGTGTGTGTGTGTGTGTGTGTGTGTGTGTGTGTGTGTGTGTGTGTGTGTGTGTGTGTGAGAGATTGTCTCACAGGCTGTGCACAGACACATGTACACATCTTTATGTCATGTATATACACATCTATCTCTGTGCATCTATATGAAGAAAAAAACAACCATGCTTGTAGTTTATTTGGTATAGAGCCATTTTATATGGACTTTAAATGTCATGAGCAAAAGTGACTTTTATCCTGTTTCTTGTAGATTAAAAAAAAATGCTATTTTGACATTAAATTGAGAGGGAAACTTATTTATTCATTTAGAATTCTGGTTTATTATTACACAAGTGAATCTGATACAATTCAAAATGACATTGACACTTGAGAGACAATTTGGATTTAAACTCAAATACATTGTCCTACATTGTGACAGTGAAAATCAAATAAGACTCAAACTACATGAGAATGAGTTTTAAAAATTGTAAGATTTTCTAACAGTAATAACAAAATCACATATGTCTCCATGAAAAATACAGCTCAGTTACATTAAGTGGCCTGAGTTCATATATCTACATTTTTGCCTGTATTTATCAAATCTTGAAATAAAAGAACAAAGTACAGTCTGGTATAAAAATGTAAGGTAAGTAGGGAGAGAATGACAATATGTATTTGTATATAATTATGCAGTATAATTTAATACCTGAGTGTGTACTCAAAAACAAATCATTTGAATATTTTTGGTCTGTTAAGTGTTTTGAGGAAACTTAAAAACAACAAAACATTTTTTTTACCTACTTTTTTATGGACTGCTGAAACAAAATGTTGAGATGAGACAAAATCCATATAGAGATGATAAACATTATAAACTAAAATGTATGTCGTGGGAACAATTAATGAAAAAGAAATTCAGAATGAGCTCACAGTTGCAGATATGAAGAAAATGTGATTTTCTGAGGGTAAAAACAGCCGAATCAAGAATTTAAGATTTATTGTAAAATACTATATTAATGATCTGCTATTACAATTTAAGAGATGCTTTGTATTTCATCGTGAATTTTATGCTAAATGTATTTGCATGCAGGAGCACACTGTTACACGCATTGTTTATGAAGATTCAAAACCATTTTGCTGGTGCTGTGTTTACAAGAACAATGTTGCATCGCCTTTGTCCATATGAATCCTCAAAATCCCTATCCTTACAAAACAATAATAAGAAGCCGGCCCACCAGCGGCGCTTCATGGTGGCAGGCGTATGTGTTTGACCCCTGTGGGACCTATATGCCTTTTATTAACACCTGCCTGTTAGAGGAACGCTGCACGGCGGCTGCGAGCTGATGAGGGAAACCTGGAGCGGGTTCGGCCTGTGTCACCGGCCGTTTGCTGTTTCCATTTCACAGATGATTAATCTCTCTGTGAAGACTTGGGCCGGCGCGGGCGGAGTGTATGCAGCTCTTCCTGCGCTCTCTCCCGCTGGCTGCACTCTGGCTGCCTGACTAAAAGGCCTTTAGAATTCCTGTGGAGAGAGATGTGCAGAGAGTGAATGCAGCTGGCTGGGGGTCAGTGTGTGGAGCTTTTTCTGCCATTGTGTAATTGAGGCTCTGGCAGGATTTTTTTCCTCAGTTCTTTCAAAAGGGAGTATGATTGTGAAGTGCTGCAAGGGTTTGGGGAGGGAAAAGGAGGTAGGGGGAGTGTTGCAGGGGGTGGGGGAGTTTTTATATGAAGGGGGAGGTCAAGTTGACAGGAACAAAAAGAATGTGTTCCGCTAATTTCTGTGGGGCTGGATCAACAATAATAGGCTCAATTTCTTTATTACAAATTTTATAACTGCCTCCCACCCTTTTTCCCACCCTTTTCCGCTTCCAGATCCTGTCGAGGCCCAGTCTTGCTTGTGGTCTCAACCCACAAGTACCTCGGAAATGAACGCAACATACAGTACGTTGCTGGAAATGCTCAATATTTTCTCCAGAGGAAACGTTTTATAATTTGTTCGGCACCTCACTAGTACTTATTCAGTATGACTGCATTCGGCAAAGTGCCTGAGGAAGGCCCAATAATTTACACCTAACTAACCAACTTCCAATTAGTTTCCTCGCTCTTTCCAATTTAGACTCTCTCTCTCTCTCTATCCTTTTCATTAAACAGTCCCGCTGGAATATTGATGTGTTAAACTGAGACACCCCAGAAGGCATTTTGTCATGATTTAAAGGAGGGAAGGGGGTCTCGCACACGCTATCCCCCGTCAAAGCCAGGCCACTCCTGCTTGAATGCGAGCACAGCCATTGTTCATTTTGGCATCAGGATGCCATGCATTTAGGAAATAATTACCCCATACCCTGCTGGGTTTATATTCTTTTTCATCTCCTTTAATGGCTTCTTGTTCATTCTCTTTTAACCCCAAACAGGACGTTATGTGCAAAATCAAGAGCTGGGTAGTGGATAAAAAGAAACATATCCGCTACTATCAGGATTGGAACGACAAGGAGGTAAGCCTTTCATGTTACAGTCAAATCTATTAATGTGATTTATCTCAATCTTTTTATCCAAACTAAAAAAAAGTACAACTGCTTCCCCCTCTCATTTCTTGTTCTTGAGCAACATGTCTTTTGTACCAATCACATGTTAATATTATGCACATTCTTGGGCCTTGCTGATCTTAATTTAAAGACTTTATAGTCGCTCCCCACAGAGGCTTAAACACCAGACCTGAAGTCTGTGCTGTCCTCAAAGGTTCCTTTAGAAAAGTTTGGACTCTCAGTACATGCCTTGTCTGTCTTGATCACAGATCGATGTGTTGAACAAATACTTGTTTTTGACATCCAAACCAATGATTTACCTTGTTAACCTCTCTGAGAAAGACTACATCAGGAGAAAGAACAAATGGTAAGTGCTTCAAAAGTGCTGGAGGCACCTCACCGATCCATTAATCATTCCCACAGAGCTTGTCTTCAACTAACGTACATCGACTTCTACAAACTTTGATTGAATCTGTGTTACAGCTCTAAAAAGCATGCGTGCATGCCTCTGCATATGCATGTGCCGGGGTGTGAGAAGTGTGGGTGTGTCAGTTCGCCCCGTTGATCTACTGACTGTGGTCTCACGCTGACAGAGAGTCATATCTTTGCGAGAGGATCCGCCTGGAGGTGGCACATGAGTAAACCCCAACACAACATCCAACCCCCACAAACCCAGAGCAGCCTCCAGACCCTGTAGTTCATTAAGCACATGCAAACATATGGTCTCAATTTCCCATCAAAATTTCTCATTTCCATACAATATCAAAGAGAGCGAGGGAATTAAATGACAAACAAAAACAAACATATGTACTTTCAAAGCCAAACTAATAATTCATATCACGTGGAGACGAATAATAACTTTAAAAAAAAAAGCTCCTGAAATATTTTCTGAAATAGTTCTGCTCTAAACACATATTCTGCAGCCATGACATTCCACCAGTTCTCAATGACCACTGAGGCTTTTACTCAGTTGTGTGTTTTGCTCTTTACTTCTAATAAACAGGGATTTGTACTGACAGAGAATTACCTTAAATGCACTAATAGACAAATCTTTCTTTTGTTTTTGGCACTATGATCCTCCACACTTTTAAAAGTAATGTTGTCATCTGGCCACAGTGAGAGATGATCTGGACGGCTGGTGTTAGACATCCATTACATCTGAAAGGGCTACTTTTCCACACTACCGCCGTTTAGTCAATAACACCAACTTGTGGATTGTTATCACACTTTTCCAATTGCCCTCTAGGCTTGTGGTGTCACTTCTTACAAAATTTGTTTTTTAGTGGTTTACTTGGCAGCATTGTATTACAAGAGCGAGTTGTTTACCTACGACTGTTTGTTAAAATGTTCCTGACACGAAAGTATGACTGTCAGACAGAGGGGAGGAGGGAGAGAAGTCATAAATCAAATGATTCATGGTATGTGGAACATCCGTCATCAGTAGAAACAGACGTTTTTTTTCTTCCTGTTCAGTGTGTGTGTGTGTGTGTGTGTGTGTGTGTGTGTGTGTGTGTGTGTGTTAGAGATTTTTAACTGTCTGAAATGCAATAAATCTGTTTGCGTTTTTTAAAGCAGGCAGACAGTAGTGCTCAGGTGTCCTGAGGGCTCCCCGATAAACAATGCCGACATCAAAGTGTTGATGTTTGACAAGTGATGAGTCACTTCCCTTGTCCAGAGAGGAGCTCACACCTGTATGGAGATGATTACAGGTAGATCTAGTTGGCCCTAATTGTACAATAAATGCTGCTCTCAGCCCTAATGGCAGCTAGTCTGCAGCAGAGACGCCAGACTGCCATTTGGCTGTCGCCATGCTCCCGTGTTTTTCCACCGGCGCAGTTGAGATGATGATATGGTTAAGGACTATTCAAAGCAAACAGCAAGACAAATTGCAATCTCAGCTTTAATGTGCGGAGAAAAAGATGGCGAATCCTATGAGGCAAATAAGCCAATTTTATCTGTGTCTCTCAGGACACAGCAGTCAGGCCATTTCACGGGGTTCACTACTTGTTTTTTTGTTGTTATATATTTGCTGTGTTCTGTTGAGTGCATGCTGCCAGTCAGGCGTTAGGTTAGTGTCGTTTATTCTAGCAACGTTCTTCACCAAATATGATTTTAGGGTTTTTCCTCTGAAGGTTATTGTTTTTTTTTCTATTACAGACACTTAATAGCAGGTTGTAGAGACACACATGGGCAATTACAGTAGTTTTATCTGACTTTTTGAGCCTCCAAAAAACAGTTTATTGTTAACCAAGATCATCCTCTTTGGAGTGTGGGAGCCACATACCAGGCTGCCCTTGTTTAGACAAGAATACACAGTATTGGTTTTAGCAAGCCATCATTAATGGAGGGATCAGACGAGGAGCAAGGCCTCCTTTCATCCCCAGGTTCTCTGCTGGAGACAGTACATCATTTACTGTTGAGAGGAGCACATGGCTCCAATCCTATACAGTGTATGTGTATAAGAATGCGTACATGTGCATGTTTGAAGTCTGTTTCAGAGGCGACTCCATGCTCATTTGGATGCTGGCGTAATTGCGGTGTGGAGATCAAAGGGACTCTGGCCGAGTGATGTTCCAGAGGAGACTTTACCACACAGCCCTCTCCTCTGTGCGGATGGGGCCGCCTGCTGCTCACCGCTCCCCTCTCCCCTCTAGCCATGCACTGCCCCCTGCACATCCCCGCTCGTAAAAAATGATTAAGGCTGTATTTGTCATGTGTTTATTACTGAGAGGCATTGCATGATAGGGAATGGCATCTACAAGAGTCTATCGAGAGGCTTTCTCCTCTTTCCCCGGCGTCAGTGAGCTGCCTGGAAGACTTGGTTGCATACTGTAGTTTGTGTGTTAGAGAGGGTCATTAGGTCACTGCTGATGATGTGGTGGCTGCAGCCTATCCAGCGTTAGTATGTTTTCACTTGTTCAAGATATTGTTTATTAAGCATGTGGCCCTCATCATCATTATCACCCTTTATTTTGATATCAAATATTTATTGAAGAGAATGAAGAGCAGTCACAGTTTGTCAAGGCAAGAGCCACAGCTGAGAATCCTTCAGATATGCAGTGATCTTTTTCTTTCTTGTCATTTCTTTTCCTGATATTTTTCTCTTCTTGGACAATGTGCATTAAAGTAAATTGGTGCCTCTTAAGTACATGTGTTGACCTTTAAGGAAACTAGCAAGCGTGACCTGTCTGTGAGTGCTTCTGCAGTACGAGTTCTCCTGGTGAGTGTAAGAACTGCAGAGTGTGTGTGTGTGTGTGTG